TGAATTTTGGGAAACTTTAATGGTGCTGCCAACTTTGGAAAAAGTCACCCCAATTTACTGTGTTGACTTGGCATTGTACAGAAATGGACAGCCATATTGGTCTAGAAATATTTATTTTTTTTATTTTTATTTTTATTTTCCATGTGTTACAGGGGTAACACATCGTACTAAATATGTGAGGTCATATTTACGTGGGTTTGATTATAGAAACTAATAAAGTATTCTCTAAATAATGAAAAAAAGAATAAGATAAGACTCTAAGAGCAAGAAGCCGTTTAAATATGTTCAGGGACCATTTTCATCTCCAGAATTAAGGATTATTTTGATGTTACATCATTGCCTTTTCTCTTTTACTTTCCTTTTTAGTTTTATTTTAGGATTCCCTATTTTTAATGTTCATACAGAGATTTCTTTGACTGAAATACCAAATAGTTTCTTTGGTGCGAAAAACTATAATAGTACACAGGATCCTAATGAGGTAATTAATAATGTGAAATAGGAAGTAAAGGGCTAAAGGTGTAGGGAAAGTGGGAAGGGTGGGGGAAAGGTAATAAGGGAGAGGAAAAAATATGAGAAACTGAAAAAATGGAAATAAAGTGTTTGTAAATGGGGAGGGGAAGAAGGGGTGAAGGGAGGGCAGGGACAAGGGGAAAAAATGGGAATCAAGACCTGTTATGTAAAGGTACAGAATCCCAATGATGAATGTAACTGTATTATATACGTAGATTGTACCAATAAACTCAATTTAAAAAAAAACTAAAAATAAAAATAGGTATGGTATGTCCATACAGTGGCTTATTCAGCAAAACAAAGAAATGAGACATTAACAACAGACATGTAAGACCTTACATGTCTATGGCTAAGTGACAGAGGCCTATCTGAAGACTATACACAATGTATGACACCAACTACCGGATATTCTAGAGGCCAATTTAGAAACAGTAAGATCGGTGATTACCAAGGAATGAGGGGCACAGAGGGATGGACAGGTAAAGGAGGATTTTTTTTTTTTTTTTTTTTTTTTTATTTTTTGGTATCAAGGATTGAAGCTAGGGCCGTGCACATGCTAGGCAAGTGCTCTACCAGTAAGCCACACCCAGTCCTTTTTTATTTTACTTTAGTTGGAGACACGGTCTTGCCAAATTTCCCAGTCTGGCTTTAAATTTGTAATCCTCCTGCCTCAGCCTCCAGAGCAGCTGAGATTACAGGTGCACACCACTATCATGAGCACAAAGGGTTTTTGGGACAGTGAAACTATTCTGTTGGATTTTATATGGGTGTATACATGGCATTATCAATTGCTCAAACACATAAAACTGTACAACAGAGTGAACCCTAATGTAAAGGCTTTTGTTAATAGTAATTTATGGATATTAGCAGATCAAATTTAACAAATGTACCACACTAATGTAAGATTTAAGTAACAGGAAAAACTGGATAGAGGAGAGCAAAGTTAGGTATAAGGGAACTCTGTAGTACCTGTTCAATTTTTTGTAAGCTTAAAACTCCTAAGAATTTAAGTTTATAAATTGTTTAAATGCCTATGTGTGTATATGTAGGTGTGTCTTTCTGGGAAGGGGACAAGGTCTCTCCACAATCTGCCTCAGCCTCCCGAGGGCTGGGATTACAGGCGTGTGCCACACTACACCCAGCATGTGTGTTTTTCATACAGTAAATGCCTTACACACTGAAGGGCTCAATAAAGCACACAACTACAACTATAGTCTTAGCTCAGTCGCTAAAGTTAAGAGTCAAGCTCTGTGATGGGCAAATCTGCTTCCAAACTTCTACCATTTCTAGCTGTGTGGCCACATTTAGGCAAATTATCTCCTCCCCTTCCCTTACTAGAAATTGAATCCAGGACTATCTTACTGAGCCACATTTCCTGCCCTTTTTTATTTTTTGAACTTTTTTGGGGGGAGGGCAGGGCTCAAACTCAGGACCTTGCATTTTCAAGGCAGGCACAGCGCCATTGAGTTAAATCCCTGGCCCCCTTTTTTTTTTTTTAATCTTGGAGCAGGGTCTTCCTAAATTGCCCAGGCTTGGCACGCATTTGCAATCCTCCTGCCTCAGCCTCCTAGCGTTCTGGGATTACCCATGTGCACCACAATGCCTGGCACAGATTACCTCTGTAGTTTTATTTGTCCACCTGAAAAATGAAAAGCACGGTAATTCCTCCTATGGCTGTTGAGACGATTCACATAAAGATTTCTGCACGGAAAATGCTTAGCTCGGGGCCTAAAATAAAAGGAAGGCTCGAAAATCTTAGCTGCACCATGATGGTAAATTGATTATTTCTGGAATGACTGATTTAGCATTTCAAATTCCAAGGTTACTAATTCCACTATCAGCACCTCAAAAATACCCCAACAGGGCCCCAAATTCTCATTTCTAAACAGTCCCACTTTGCACGCAACCCACTTTGCACGCAACCCACATTGCCCACACACTTCGGACATTCTTAACGCCCAGACGCTACTTTTCCCCTGCTGGGCCTTCCACTGCACGTTCAGGCCCTGGAACCCCGCCTCTCAGCAACCTCCCTATCCCACCTGGACCCATTCCTGCTCAGTACCTCACCCCGCGTCCTCCCCAAACCCCGAATTACTCGTCTCCACTTCTTTGCTTTCCCAGAGTTAAAGGAAGCACCTACCCAGATACTCGTAGTCGGGTTGGGCTAGGCGCTCGGGACTCAGCATCCTTTGACCCGGGGAGCTTCCAGGCTGTAGCTCTCCGGCTTCCGGAAGCCAGACTGCCTTCTGTCTCCGTTGCCATGGCACCCAGGCTGCGGGAGGAGAGAGGCAGGAGGAGGGGGTAGCGCAAATAGTCTCCGTGCAGCAACGCGGAGCCAGCCAAGCAAGTTCCGGGAGCAGTCGCTTCGCGGCGGCCGAGGTTTGTTGGAACTCTCATACTTGTGGACTTGGTTTTAGAGGAATCTGAGGTGGTAAATCCTTTTTTAATCTGTCATATTTCCTGATTTCGAAGAATTATTGTCAGCCGTCCATATCTGCAGTTTCTGAACTTAATAACTGTTCCTACTTTATACAGCTTTTATCCTAACACAAAAACATTTCCATTCATAACCTCTTATAAACACCTAGTATCCTAGAACCTGGTTTTGTCTCTTCACCTTAAATTACTACAAAGTGCTTTCACGTGCATATTATATTTTGGATGCTTCTTGTGTCCTTTAGCCTGTGATAGGGCTGGACATGCAGTAAGTGCTCATTAAGTCTATTACTTAATTGCCACTTCCTCTCAAACTCCCCTTTATCTTAGACCATCCTCCCACTCCTATCCTTTACTATTTGATCCCTTTCCCAAGTGCCCCCGCGCCCCACTTCTGGAGGGGAAACATGCAGAGATAAGGACACCTATGACATTTTTCCCCATGGGCCAAACTGCTGCTTTCCTCTCCTTTGAGCAGAAGAGAGTACTCGTGGGTTTCCAAGTTCCCAGATGTTTCTCTTTTTTGCTCCTCTCCACTCTCAACTACAGGTCAGAGATCTGTAGCAACTGTCAGAATTCAAACCTAGCAGAAAAAAAGCCACTCTGTCCTCTCATTTTTAGTAAGTGTCCTCCCCTCCAACAAGGTGAGGTTTTGTGAAAAAGAAAGAAAGAAAACAGAAATCAAATCAAAGGAATGACTGGGAAAACAGGAGACCACCTACGCTGGGAGAAGGTTCTTTTCTTTGTGTTCTGAGTAATCTATTTTTAGCTTCCTCAACAAGGAGCCTCAAACCTCCTAATTCTCCCTTTTGCTTAAACTTATATATGTGTCTCGATTCTAGGCTCCTGTGAGTCACTCTTGAGTTTGGATGTGGTGAGAAGAAAAGGACAGAGCCAAACTAGGAGCAGTGTTTACTGTTTTGAGGTGATGAATTTACTAATTTGGAATTGGACATGAGGTCCTGCAAATTTGACTAAAAAATATTGCCTTCTCCCCAACCCTCCACCAGTTCTCCCCCTGGCTTCTTGAGGGTACAGGAGTTCTGTAAGTTTCATATCTGTGGCTTATTATGATAATATTAATAAATTATAGGGTAGTAATTATTTTTCTTTGTTCTTTGAGACAAGGTCTCGCTATATAGTTCAGGCTGGCCTTGAATTCATAATGTATCCCAGGCTGGCCTTGAGCTTGTGGCAATCATTCCTCCTGCCTCAGCCCCCTTAGAGCTTGGATTACAGGCATGCTCTGCCACGCCAGGCATTAGGATAGTAATTATTAAAGATCATTTTACTTTATTCCCAAATAACTTGAAGCTATTTGCGGGTAATTTCATACGCCCTCATGAAAACTGTCTAAGGCACTTCTCCCTTGTCAAAGAAGGGAAACTGAGGTATGAGTCACAAAAACAGCTTGTCTGATCTAATACCGCCATGCAGTGAGTAGGAGAGCTGGAACTGGATCTCAGCTATCCCAACATCCAGATTAGTGGTCTGACCACTAAACCACACAGCCTCTTTTTTTTTAGGGGTTGTTGGCTTGGTGTTTATTTATTTATTTTTTCCTTTTTCTCTTCCCTGCTAGCAACTGGATAAAAAGGAGAGAATTTTGAGTTCAGGCTGAACATTTGACATCCCCTTATTTGCAAAGCATTATCCTGGGACTTGGAGGGTACTGCTACTGGGGTCTGTGTGATGAGGCTGGGAACCAGCCCCAAGAACATAGCTTTGTTCGGGCATTAACCCATTTGTGGTTATAATAATGATAAGTTTCAGCACCAGTGGCGCCCGACTGTTAATGACTCAAAGAAAGCTAAATAAGAACAAGATGTCATCTCTGGAGCAATTTGTAGGTTTTTCATACAGTTCTATCCCTTCCAGAAAAACCCTAAGGACCATTATATTTACTTGGTCTTCTACTCTGATGTCTTGGACAATCTATAGAGGAGGAGGACTTGGAAGGAGATAGGAAGTTGCTAGACTAAAACTTCAAGACGATGTGGCATTTCACAGAAATAAAAGGTGGTTTTCTTCCTGTGTTTTGCTTCTTTACATTTTTCTACATTCTTAGGGTTTTATTTAATAGGCTTGTGTTATAACCTGAAAACAAGCAAGCCAATGAATGGCACAAAAGACTTTAAAATGTTTTCATATAGATGTGATAATCTTCCAGAGAGTGTTTGTTTTTCTCAAAAAGAAGCACTACTTTTAGATTTCTCTCCAGTCACAAATTACATAACAGATTTTGGCAACACATTGGTTGTGGAGGAAATTTTCAGTGAAACATAAACATCAGTCTTAAAAAAAAAAAACGCTCAAAAGTTCTTAAAATCAAGCATATTTATGTGATCCTGTTGAACATTAATGAAAGAACAAAATGTCAACCTACAATTTAAATGGATTTTTCAGGTTCCTAAATCATCATTTTATATTACTTAAAAATTTATCAGTACAAATACCCAAGCAAACCAATAAATCAGAAGACAACCCCATAATCCTGAAAAGAATCAAGTGATATGAAATTGATAGGATATCAAAAGTACGTGGGGCCATGAATTTATTTCAGTGGCTCTGCTGCCTGCCTCACAAAGTGCAAGGACCCAAGCTCCATCCCCGGTACCACAAAAAAAAAAGAAGAAGAAGAAGTGCATGAAGGCCAAGGATGTAACTTGGTTGTAGAATGCTTAGTGCTTACCCACCATACGTGAGGCCCTGGATTCAATCCCCAGCAGGGGGGATGGGAGTGACATGTTACATTGTTACATGCAGTACTATAAAGAACAGAAACACCAAACTCAGAATGACAAAAGACCCCTAAGAGGGACTATGTTGGTGTGTTAATTTAACAGATTACAATTTCTGATTTTAAAAAGAGAAAATTAATAGAAATCTTACACCTTTGCCTCTGCAGAGGGCCTGTTAGATTGATAGAGAGGAATCCCTGGTACCAAAATACAAAAAAACCAAAACAAAACAAAAAAAAACAAAGATTGATAGAGAAGAAAACCCTCCCTGTAATTGAAGACTACAGAAAAGCAAACATGAATGTTCAAGATAGTTTTAAACCTCAAGGAAAGAGTAAGTGCAGCCTGGCTGAATTATTTGTACAAAACATGTTCAAGAAAACTAGGACAAGCTTTTATCGACTCATCATGCAGAAAAGATGCTAACGGCGGAAGTAGCTACTAAGAAATGCAGGTCATGAAATTCATGCTGAGCTGCTAGGCTCTTCTTTAAAAACTTATCTTTTTCAAAAGCAAAATAGGAACTAAGTATAATGCCACTGCCTGGGGCTAACATGTTTATATTAAAAATGCTAGCCACAGAAAAGTCATTTGGAACTGCCACAAATCCAGAGAACAGAGTTTTGGGGGAAATCTATAAATAAAAAGAAATTTTCACAAGTTCTTGGGCTGTAAAGAATCATGAATGCAGCCCAAGAAAGTTGTTAAGAGGATATGCTTAAATTAAACTGGACCTCAAAGGCAATTGCAGCCTTGTACCTCCTTATTTTATATTTGCAAATACTGAAAAAAAAATGTGAATTACATGTTCACATAGTTTGAAAAGTAGGAAGATTTTCTAATTTTTCTTCATACCCCACAAAATTTCATCATATCTTTCTTTGTCCTAGAGTATGAGGTTGCATAAGCAGTTATGTCTGTTATTATTCTCTAAGCTATTCTAGACTGTGGTTTCCTTGAGGCCAAAGACTGTTTTCATTCATCTTTATGTTGCCAGGTCATACACAGTATCTGGCAACTGGTATACAGTAGAAGACAGATATAGAATAAGACAGGTATACAATAAATGTCTGTGAAATGAATTTGCTTTGTTCTAGATTAAAAGTCTAGAAAACAAAGATCATCCAATCCACAGGATTTATGGTTGTTTCATAGCAACCAACTCATAAACAAATTCATTACACAAAAAAGCCAGAAAAATGCTGGGCATGGTAATGCACAAATGTTGTCCCAACTACTTGGGAAGCTGAGGCAGGAGATCACTTGAGCTCATGAGTTCAAGAGCAGCCTGGTCAACAAAACAAGACCTCATGGAAGGAAGGAAGACATGCATCAAAAATTAATCAGGCTTAGCCGGGTGTGGTGGCACATGCCTGTAATCCCAGCACTCAGGAGGCTGAGGCAGGAGGATCGTTGTGAGTTCAAGACCAGCCTGGGCTACATAGTGAGCTCCAGGTCAATCTCAACTACATAGTGAGACCCTGTCTCAAAAAAACAAACAAAAATAATAATCAGGCTTTTTTCCCGCTTTCCCTTTCTGCTTATTCCTGCTGCTGCTCCTCCATCTTCAATAAATGTAACTATATACTAAAAAAAATAATAATAATAATCAGAAAGTACCAGCATATCATTCCTACACCTAAAACTGTGACAGATCACCATGTAAAGAAATGCTTCCCCCAAAGTATCAAGTAACACAATAAAAGGCTTACAGACATTGCTGCATGTAGACAAGTTAAGAAAATTAGTTCAGGAGAATAGAAAAATTGTTAAGTCAATTAAGGATAGGAACTGGGAGTTCCCCACTTCAAAATCTTAAAGCAAAAATCTGGAGTCTCTGGTTATTTTTTTTTTTCTCCCAAAGTTCAAGACCCCTGGGCTACATAGTGAGCTCCAGGTCAATCTCAACTACATAGTGAGACCCTGTCTCAAAAAAACAAACAAAAATAATAATCAGGCTTTTTTCCCGCTTTCCCTTTCTGCTTATTCCTGCTGCTGCTCCTCCATCTTCAATAAATGTAACTATATACTAAAAAAAATAATAATAATAATCAGAAAGTACCAGCATATCATTCCTACACCTAAAACTGTGACA